TTATCCCGATACATTACTGTTCATGGTATATTATTGCTTAGTTAGTTGCAACAGGTCAGCAAATACTTTAAGAATTGGCAGACCTTGAACAAAATCTGACTTTTCCCACACTGCAACAGCCACTAGGAAATAAGAGGCCTATCAGCTGCATATTCTTCCTGCACCAGATAATATGGTGCTGATCCAACTTTTTTAAAAAATATAATTGTTATGCAGTCAAGGAACACTGGTTGGGCATAGTAAGTCCAAAACATTTATTCTGAACATATCTGAGCTAAGTATCCTAACGTCAGAGATAATAAGTAGCCATTTAAAAATAAAACCCAAAATACATGTAGCATAAGACAAACAAGGTGATTCCTGTCCCCTTAGATACAACCAATGTTGATATTGCCCTGGCAATGGAGATAGCATTCAAAGAACTGTGGGGAACTGACCTAAGCACTTGGCAATGGAATGGTTTTAGGAAGTTAAAGTTGATTTGAAGCTCTCTTATCTACTCATTCAGTGGAGGGGGGGTTAATGTGTTTTTGTGAAGATACTACTCACTATATCAAGCCAGCAACCATAATATACTGGGGGGGGGACTGTAACTAAAATACACATTTAGTTCATTGTAGCATTCCAACACCAGTCTGCCAGTCAATCCCATGTCTGTTTTCCATTGCCTACTCTCCTCCTTTGTACTCATCATGGCTGCCACCTACAAGTCCTTAACCCCAGCTGAGCTTGTTCAAAACAATTTCTTCTTATTCAACTTCCTATGCATTCAAGTACTTAAGCTTCAAATGGCACAAAGCAGCATTAGCTTTGCGGTTCATTTTAAGAGACATATTGCAGATCCTTAAATGTTTAGAAGTTTCAGCCTGTTATCAATTTTACCCATAATTTCTTTATTAAAAAGACTGCTACGCCTTACACAAATGTTTTGCATAGCTAAATTAGGCGCTTTTAAACTGCAACCCAGTGTCACTTTTTTACAGTGACCATTCCAGGGGAAAGTGATTTCAAGAGGTGGGTTTTTTAAAAAAAGTTTGTGTACCTGCTTATCTCTGACAAAATGGTAATAAATGATTGATTGTAGTGCTAGATAAATCCAAAACAAGGTATTTTATTTAGAACAGGACTCTACCCCTCAGAAAATGTCAATTAGGAAGGTGTGTTGTACTTATAAGCCTGTTAATTTTACCATAAAAATCAGAACAGATAACTGATCACTGCATTACCCCCACTATCTAGGGAAACCATGTCGCAGTTGACATTAAACACCATCAATTAAATTTGGGTTGTTGAGTGGCATTTGCTTACTTTTGCCAGGGTTTATATGGGCAGGGGAGAATTAAATATTTATAATTATGACAGGAGACAATCTCAAGAGGTTCGCTATATTTTTGTATACTTGGTAACCAGGAAGGATATGCTACATGGCTAGGATGGGGGTGCTGTCATATCCCAACGCAGCATCATGCCGGCTTCAATTCAACCTCCTTGTAAATGAGGCCCCACACTCCAGCCAGAAAGGCACAGGCTAGCTCTAACTAAAATAGATGTCCAATGGCACTTGAGAGACTAACATTTATTCCAGGTGGGCAGCCATGGAAGTGTGCACAAAAGCTCATACCTTGAATAACCTTTGTCAGTCTTAAAGGTGCCACTGGACTCGAAACTTGCTCAACATTTATTCCAGGAGCAGCTTTCATGAGTGAGAGCTCAGTTCTTCAGGTGATTTAACTAGGCTCTTTTGCTCTGCTGTCTTGCATCCTTTTCAAGGTCTGTGACAACTGAACCTCCACAAATTTCAATCTGATGTACACACATTTTATTTGCCTAATCTGCCACCCCACCCCACCCGGTCTGTGACTAAGCAAATCACAACTCGAAAAAAGTATTACTGAAAGTTGAAATGGTACTGCGAAAGTGATCACGCTTGTGAAGGTCTTGGATTTTTATAGGAGCAAAATCCTATATGTTAGGATCCCCTATACGTTAAATCCCCAGTACTTGGCAAAATGCAGCAGACCAAGTTCAGAAAATCCTGCAAAGCTGGATTTAAAGTAATGTAATCCGATGGGTCTGACTCCTGAGTTGCTGGTCACAACATGAATGAGATGAGACCACCAGTTTCTTCTTCTTCCACACATACTTTAATGCCTTTTGTTTCAAAAGTTGCCTAAACAGTCCATGCCAAATGGAAGCCTCTGTGAATGCTGCCTTATAGCCTGAAAGACCTTGCGAATCTGAACTGATCCCCACTCAGTTGTAAGGGAGAAATCGTTGCCATCTCCTAAACTCTTCCACAGAGAGAGAGAGAGTTCAGCCTTCAGCAAAACTTAATGCTTCTTGTCAGCTTGACAGCCTTGTGCATTAGCTCCAAACTGCAGTTTAGTTTATTTGATTTCTACCCCGCTCCATTTCCTACAAGCAGGAAGGATCTTTTTAAAGCTGTCTCTGCCCCCTCCAAGAGATTAACAGTGACCCTGGCTTCTCACAGCCTCATATAACAAAATTTAATACCAAAATTCATACATTCATATAATATGGATACGAAACCTGAAATATGTGTGTGTGGGGGCGGGAGACAGTCATCTGAACACATCTACAATAAATAGGCTTATTAATACTAAAATACTCAACTTTTCCTTTAGCAGTTTATTAGCTGATCAGAATTCCACCACCACCCACTCGATTTTGGCCTTAATGGAAGGAAAGTCTGGTGATACAAGTTTTGCATCTGATTTGTTCAATAGATGGAAGTCCTTTAACTGAAGACAGAAGCTGAATCACAGATACAAGTCAGTGTCACTTGGCATCCCTTACAAAGCCCATTTTGCCACTGGCTCCTCTCAGTCCAACCTTGTTTGCTCTTGGACATACTTTATCCCATTTAAACCAGAGAACTGAACACTTTAAAAAATGCACAGCTGAGCAGCTGCTTAACATAGTAAAAATGTTAAGTCAATTTCACTCTGCAAGCACCCCCTAAAAGGTGAGCAGAGGGGGGCAGCAGGGCAGGGAAAGCACAGCTGCCTGGGTTTTGATCATCAGAAGCCATACCATGTTCCTCTGGTGGTGGGTCTTGTGCGCAGTGGAGTCGCCATCCACCAGCACATGTTGCACCTACGCCTGCATCCCATTACAGATGCTGTATTGTCAGCATCTACTGCTCCATTTTCTAACGTCCTCTTCACAAGTCTGCAGCCGGCAGCGCCCTAAACTCCTTGCTGGGTTCGAGGCAAGCAGCTATTTTACGGACCCAGCTTTGAGACGCTCCACTCCGTTCCCCAGATAGGATCCTACATCCTCCCCCCTCCCCCCCTTCTCTGAGGCAGAATAAATTTTTGTTCCGAAGCAGCCCAGTCTTACACAGGTTCACTCGAAAGTGAATCCCGCTGAGTTTAATGGGAATTATTGTCAAATGTTCCAAAAACTGCAACTTTTAGACTCGTAAAGGCACAAGGACGGGCCTGCGATTGGTGAGGGGAGGGGGGGGGAAAGAGAGGATTAGATACCTCTGATTTTAACTCTCATCCTATTTTCAATCCCATTCTGGACGGTGATGTTTTTCTCCCTGCAGTCAAAAAAACCGTTTTCAGAAGTTTCAGATGAGGTTATTTTAAACGGGAGAGAGGTAAAGGGAAGAAGCCCTAAGGCTCTGGCGGGGGGGGGGGAATCGGAAGCGAACGGCAGCTAAAATTGACGAAGTTAATTTCACATCCGTTGGATAATGCACTTTAGCAATTGTTTACAAGTGGATGTTTCGGCTTCGCACAGGAAAATACAGCTGCAAAGGACTGCTAAAGCACATTGAAAGTGCATTGTCGAACGCGTGCGAGAGGCGCTCAGCTCAAACACGGCCTGGCGGCAGTAAAGCCCCAGACTTTGCCCTTCAGGAATCCGACCTGGCATATTTAATTTCTGGCGCGATCGAGCGGATTTGTTTGGAGACCCTAAGCCATTGCGAGCGGGTATCAGGAGTAATCGAAAAAACACAGACGCACCCTGTTTGAAAATAATTTCTTACTCTAGATTTAAGGTATTTGAAAACACAGTAAAAGACGTATTTTTAAAAATAATAATAATAATAAGACTCCCTCGAGTTAAACGGAAGTCTTGGGGGTTTTCAACACCTGTCCAGAGAGTCTAGGCTAGGGCAAGTCGCCGCCGAGTTTGCTCACCGAAAGCCAGGCAGTGCAATGCGCTCTTCTACCCAACAGAGCTCTCTGCGCACGGCAAGCGCCTCCTGGCGCTGCCTTCACACCAGTTCGCACGAAAACACACCGGGAGCGACTCGACCTTATTCCTTTAGGAACTGGGCCGACCTACAATTCAGAGCACTATTGCTAGCCTGGTATTTGGGGAGGGGGAGAGAAATAAACCTCTCTGGTCTAGCTCTTCTCACTCCTACTGGAATTAATCCTGGTAGGGCTTGTCGGAACAAGAGGCGAAGGGCAGCCCCTCCATCATTTGCAGTGGATGGACACTCGGTAGTTTCGCCGCCGGACACATGGAGAAGCGCTTTAGGCGGAAAGTGAGCCCCAAACTGAAGCTACGGCCTCAGCACGGTGAATTTCCTTTGCAGTCAGACGACCTCCTCCCTCTTTCGTTTTCCACTCTTTCAATACTTAAAAAACCATTAATCGCCTCTATTCTTAAAGCAGTATAAGGGAAGCCCTCTAATAACCGAAGCCTGACCCCGCTACCCAAAGAAACGAGGCATCTCCCGTACTATACTCTCCAAAGGATCCCTATCCAACTCCCGCTCCGCGACGCGGGATTCATCCAAGAAAAGAGACGAGACGCGGAAGCAGAACCTACAGCGGCTCCCAGGAGGACTTTAGGCAGCCAGTTGTCGGAGCTACACTAGACACACCACGAAGGGAGTCGAGGCCGGGCCCCGGAGAAGCCAACCCGGTGCAGGCACTCCGGGCTGGGGCGCGCGGGGAGGGGCAGGCGGGGAGGGGTGCCCCAAGCGAAAGCCGGCAGGGTCCCGTCCTGCGTACCTGTACCAGGTGAGCCCGCGCTCGTAACTGCGGTCAAAGAAGTGGGGCTCGGCGCCCACCGCCCGCACGTCCGGGTGGACCCGCAGGAACTCGAGCAGCGCCCGGGTGCCGCCCTTCTTCACGCCGACGATGAGCGCCTGGGGCAGCCGCTTGGTGCCGGAGCCGTTGAGGAAGCTGGAGATGGAGCAGGGCGGGTCCGGCGCCGGCGCGTCGTCCTCGGGGTCTTCCTCCTCGTCGCTGCTCTCCTGCTCCGGGCTCAGCTGGCCCTTGGCGGCGGGCGCCCGCAACAGGAGCAGCTTGGAGAGCGCCGGGCCGTGCGCCCGCCGGGCAGGGGCGGAGGAGCCCGGCGGCGGCGAGCCGGCGGCGGCACACGAATAGACCATGCAGAGCCACACAGCCAGCATGATCAGGAGCAGGAGCAGGAGGAGCCTCCTTCGCCCCGGCGGGAGCAGCGGCGGCGGCGGCGGCGAGACGGGGACGCCGGGAGCATCGGGGAGGCAGAAGCCGATCAGGCGCAGCAGGCCCATAGGCGGCAGCCCGCGGGCGACAACCCCGGCACCATGGCGCACGAACGAAGCCCGGCCGGCGAGACCAGGCGGCGGCGGCGGCGGCGGCGGCGGCGGCGTCCGGGAGAGTTCAGCAGCTCGGCATCGCCAGAGCGTCTCTCCCAATTGCAGCTCGAGCCAGTGGCGGCGGCATTACTCGGGGGTGGAGAGCAGGCGCGCCTGACTGGCACCCTCGGAGCCTATAAGAGTCTCCCGCCGCATGGTAATCAGCCCACCAGGTGGATCAGAGGTAGCCAATAGCAGGGCAGCCCGCCCCCGCTGGGCGGGGAGCCGAAAGCAGCGGGAGGCGATTAGCCATTCTTATTGGCTAACGAGCCGTTAAAGAGCCAGGGGCGGCGAAGAGCCTAAAGACAGAGGAGGCCTACAGGCTGTGAGATGGTGGGGCTGCTGGAGAGGCGGCTGGGTGCTTTATTCGCTCTTGGCTTGCAAAGGGCTGAGATTCCGGCGAAAACTGCCCGCTCGTCCCCAGAGTGAAGAAGTGAGAGATGCAGCTGGGTGCCGAAGCGAAAGAGCCGAACGGACTGAAGTCTTGGGGCCGAGCCACGTGGACCAGTGCAATCGACCAAGATCTCCCTTACGGGAGGGGAGAGGCCCAGTAAAGCGGCTGTCCTGCGAGCCCGACTTTCCATTCTGCCCTTTTTAGTCGGGGGTCGAGCCTCGCATCACTAGCGTGAATATCCGAAGCACTTTCAGGCTGCCAGTCCTCTGAAGGCTAAAATGGGGGGGGGAGGACACTTACTCCCGAATGGACGTATACAAGATTCGTGGCAATAGAGACTGAGCGACACTCTTAGTCCGCGAAGTGCTCCCGGTGAAGTGGGGGTTTTACTCCACTTCCCCACTGCACTGGGATCTGGACTTAGCTGCGTCTGGAATCCTAGCAACACTTGCCTGGGAGTAAACCTCATTAAGCGTAGCACAATTTACTTATCCGTAGTCTTGCATCGGATTGCGCTGTAATAAGGCAAGTGGCTAGATGTCTGGATTCCTCAACACGGTGTGATGAAAGCAGGGTGTGACAGTGTTAGAGAATGACGTGTTCCTGCTTCCGGGCAGTAGATCGTTCTATCACCCACCTCCGTATATAGCTCTTTCAGCATGAGACCCTTCCCCCCCCGCGCTAAAGGCCTGCCGATCTCAAGTAACCTGTCTTCGGTTTAGGTCTTGGATCCTCTAATCTCGTACAAATTGTACTTCAGGGAGCGGCGTCCAGTATAACTAATAAGAAAAAAAATCATTATTTTTAAGGCTAATAAAAAGATGTGATTGTTGTTAACACTGAGATAAAAGTCCCCGTTGATCTGGAAACGAGCCTTTTTCTATCAGAAACGAATGCGATTTTTCTAGAGTTCCTGGATTCTATTCCAGTAGCACCTTAGAGGCCCACAGGATTTTCGGGCTAGATTGGGGTGGGGGTCTGAAGCAGCAGAGCAAAGTTTGAGTCCCGTGGCACCTTTAAGAGTTTTGGAGTGTAAACCTTTGAGAGTCAAAGCTCTCTTCAAGAGTTGGAATGAAGGTCTCGGCAACATTATACCCCTTCTAGACCTTGTCGGTGGCTAAGGTGCTACTGGACTCGAATCTAGCTGTCCTACTGCACAACAGCACGGCTACCCCCTGAAACTTTTCTCGAGCTGCCGATGGGTTAAAGACTGGGGATTATCTTCCTCTCCGATCCTCCTCATGTATCCATTGCTCTGGGTAGGATTTCCTTCCTTGCAGTTCGGATTGGGTCTTTCTCCCCCTTAGCTAAGGTCCACGTAGCCCTCTGGTTCTCCATATAAGGCCCGGTCCCTAACCAATGCAGATTTAATCCTTTGTTCCCACCCAGGGGTATGAGGTAGGCCCTCCTTCCGCCCCACCCAGTCCCCGCAAGAGCCTCGCCGGCCCACTGAGAATGGCTCCTGCCGGATTTTTCCAAGAGTGAACGGATCCGGTCCCTCTCTGGGTTTGCTTGCCACGCGATCCATTTTGCCCTGCAACTAGTTCCGCAGGTGAGCCATAGGGTTTGGTTCCACTGACCAGAGTAAATTAAAGAAGCCACTCTAAGTAGGTCTACTCAGAAGTAAGTCCCATTTTATTCAAAGGGGTTTATTCCATGGAAAGCGTTCTGCAGCCTAAATCACTTGGAGAGCTGTAGGAGCTTTGACTCTCAGGGATCTTGCGGGACCTGACGAAAACAAGGGCTTTCTCTTCCACTTCCTGCCCGTTCCACCCACACCCCCAAGAAACGCAGGATTTCCTTGCTGAGGCGTCTACGCTGGGGCAGTTCTTTCGTAGATGTTCCAAACATGGGACGTTCCAAAATGAATGGGGGGTGGGAGGTAGCGTTTGGGGTGAAAGTCCTACAGGTGTGTAGCAGCCCCGATCCACTGAGGGAAAAACCTGATCAGAATCCTCACTGCCAACAGCACCGCCCGACGGAAAGAGGGTCCCATTTGAAAGCTGCAGTCCTGGCTGCTACACAAACTGTATGAGAGCAAAGAACAGCTCGAGTCTCAAGTCACCGACATTAGACTATTTCCTCACTTGAGGCTGCGATCCCCCCGTGGCAATCCAAGGGCGAGCAAGCCCTGTCCTGAGTCTCCTTCGCCCACTTTACGCCATGCACGGCATGTTGTCCATGATGAGGAAAAGGAGCCAAAGTTTCGGTTATGGAAAGATGATTTAATCCTCGCATGCGAGGAAGGCATTCTCAAAGTGCCCCCCCCCCAAAAAATTCTTTTTTGCTAATAGTAGTCATGACATGAGGGATAATAAGGGAATGGCTGTTATTATGACATAATCTACATTAACAGACAATGCCAGAAGACTCAGAGGTCTTGTGAAAGCACGAAAACTGTTTTGATAGAAGGTAGTCTCCCTGTTCTGAAGTAGGAGTAGAAGTGGACAGAAGGTAGGGAGGCTGCCTTCCAAGGGAAGTGTGTCTCTGACCCGGGTTTACTTTTGCTTGCGGCCAAATTCTTCGGTTTCGCAGAGGCCAAGGCTTCCTCAGGGTTTGCGTCCACGCGTAGAATCAAGGCTTCTGAGGCTTGGGTTCTAGAGCCCACTCGCCCACCAAGAAGGGGTGATCCGAAGAGCGCGGAGGAGTAACTGCGAGTCGGCTCCCTTCTGATAACGCCTCAAGAGCAGAGGACCAAAATGCCTTGGACGCTGGAGGGGGCAGGACTATAGCTGGAGATCAGTTCTAGACAACGATGAGATTCTTCTTCTTGTTATTAGCATCAGAATTATTTGATTAATTGTAAATGACCGAAGGGGGAGGGATATCAACGATTTAACAGTTTTATAGAGAGGGGACTAAAGTTTTGAATCTAGCCCCTTCGGAGCCCACCACGCCAAAACGTTCAAACCGGTGCAGCGACTGCGGAAAGGAGACGGGCGATGGCAGAGGGGGGGACACCGTTGGTGACCAGCCCAGTTCCCCTGAAGAATCGGAGCCGGGTTTCCTTTTCGCCCCTTCTTTCCCAGAGGTCCCAATTTTTAATCTATTTTATTTCTTAGTTGAACGGAGGCTACAACTCGAAACCTACATATTTAGGACATCAGTCGTCACTGAAAATAACTTCCGAGTAAACGTGGCTGAGGATGCGATCGCCCTTGTACATTGGAAGCCGCAGGGCACAAGCGGCCCGGCCCGAGCTAAACAACGTTTACTCGGAAGTAATCCCCAGTGAGTTCAATAAGGCTGCACTTCGTTGCCATCTTAAGCAAAGTCTATTGGAATCGGAGGGTTACTGGGAAGAACCGGGCAAGCCGCCGGTCCGGTGCCTTCGGCTGGCGCTAAGAAAACGTGGCAGAGGCGGTTAGAAACTCGGGCGAGTGTTCCCGGTGTGCGAGCGCTCGCTGGAGGCGAGGAAGGAGAAAGTTACACAGCGCCGAGTGCCAAGCACGGGATCTCGTGCAAATCTCATGCAACTCTGGCAGTTTCGCCGTTGCGAGTTAAAAGGAATCCCATCCTGGTTCATGAGATCTCTAAGGGGATGGGCAGGCTTCTTCTTCTTTTTTTTAAAAAGGAGACAGAGTAGGAAGATAGCGACGCTCTGCTTTTCCCTGGTCTCCCCCCCCCCCATGCTTTGGAGACTGGGCTCGGCTTATCCTGTGGTTTTCCGGGGCCAAATACTTTGTCAGCCAAATGAGAAGGGAGCACTCACTTTCCCTGATGCTGGGAAAGACTGAAGGCAAAAGAAGAAGGAGACGGCAAAGGATAGGATGGTTAGACAGTGTCATAGATGCAACGAACATGAAATCGAGCAACCTCCAGACGGAAGACAGGAGGGCCTGGCGGTGATGTGGTCCATGGGGTCGCGAAGAGTCGGACTCGACTGTGCGACTGAACAACAACAATTTCCCAGGGTTACCGCCTGTGCAGAAGCGAAGTAAACTCAAAACGGATTCTAATCAATCAAGTTACTTCCTCCGGTATGAAAACAAAGCTAATATAATCTACATTCTAAACTTCTCACCGTGAAATTTACTAAACTTCTTCTCACCGTGAAAATCAGGAGGAAAGCAACAGAGGGGCGGGATGCCTGTCTGGTGGGGAAGAGTGCAGACGAGAATTGTTTTATAAAGGCTTCGGAAGAGAACACAAGGGGAAAGAAAATAATATTCCCTGTTTTACACACAGGCTTCAATCCTAAAAATATTTCCCGGGGGGGGGGGAATAAGACATACTTCCAAGTAGACCTGTTTGGGATTGCTCCCACCGTCCACTCCGAGAGGGAGCTGGGTTTCGGAGTCACTCCCACTTTTCGCTTGAATTGACGAAGTCGAGAACTGTGAACAGCTTCTCACGAAAGAATCCGCAGCTAACGAGAAGTTCTTGTCAAATGTCTTTCGAATAATACGACGGTTTTAGTCTTGGAAAGACGCCGTGCTCCCTGAAGTCGAGGAAACAGTTCTCTTGTCTCCCTCTCCCCCCAGCAAGGATCAATCTTTCGCTCGGTTTAACTCCACTTTCGGGAATGCCCCAAGGGTGTGC